ACAAAAAAAAAAAAAAAAAAAAAAAAAAAAAAAAAAAAAAAAGAAAAAAAAGAAAAGAAAAGAAAAGAAAAAGGAGATTTTTAAATTAAAAAAAAAACAAAACAATAACAGATCTTCTGCCTCTCTTAGAAAATCAGAAAGAAGATCTGGTAGCATTAGCCTCCCCAAGTAAGGACTGGAACCTGCCGAGGGCTTCCCTCTTAGAAGAGCGTTCCCTCAGCAGTTTGTCACTGTCCCCACCACTCCCTGCTGCCTCCTTGACCCTGAGTTTGCTGTCATTCTTCATCACCTGGCTCTTTCCTGAATTATGTGGCTCACATGGGTCCTGCAGCCATTTGGGTTTGAGAGCTCTGGTGGAGGCCTCAGTCCTATGGGTTTGCAGCCCAGCATTGCCCTCTACCGTGTGTGTAAGCTTCTGAGCCTTGTCTTGCAGAATGTAGAGGAGGATCAGTGGGATCACACATGTGAGCCCTCAGCAGGCAGGAAGAGCCCCCCCATGCATGGTGTGTGGTTGGCAGCATATGCTTGTCCTACTGAGCTCTGCCTGTGTTTGCTTCTAGTGCTACCAGACGGGGCTGATGTCCAGGTATGTTGAGTCCTGGAGAGCTGGAGATACAGCTTTCTGGCGAGGACCTTTCGGAGGCTTCTTCTATAAACCAAACCAGGTCAGTGCCGGTGCACTAAATGCTGAGGAGATCCCCAGCTTCCCTGTAGGACTGCGATTGTCATAGCTCAGACTGTAGAGTCTCACTCTGCCAGTGTTGCGCTTAAATCCAGTCCCAGGAGGATCCTTGGGGTTGAACATGGAAGGAGATGAATAGACACTAAAAAAACTACCTGCCATGTTCTAGGACTATTTATGGCTGCCCATTGCTTAGGAAATCAGACTTGTGTACCTGGTGTTTGGGACCCTAATACCTGTGGTGCTCAGGTACTGTTCCAGTTTACATTCCACTCACAACACTAAATGAAGCCTGTGGCTCCCTGCAGAGTAGCCCACTGCCTCCTAGCTCAGAAGGCTCTTGCCCTCATCTTCTTGGCATGGGAAGATCTGTCCAGTAACTTTTCAGAAAGGATTTCTCATTAGTGCATAGCTGGAAAGTCATTTGGCAGAATGTACCAAGGATCTTAAGAGTCTTTAAATCCTTTGACCTGGTGATTCACTTTTGGAAGTCTGTAGTACAGAAAAAAAATCCAAAACATTAACTCATATGCACGCCATGGCATCTGTATTTAAAATAGCAAACATTGGAAACAACTGAATATCCAACAACACGGAGACCAGGTAAATGAGCTTACAGGTACTTGATAGGATAGTGTCCTGCATTTTAAAATTAAGTTTATAAATTATTTTTGGGCCAGGGATTTAGCTCAGTGGTTCTGCCACCTGCCTTGTAAGCTCAAGGACCTGAGTTCGATCCCCAGTACCAAAAAAATATATATATTTTTTTCTATGCTTACGTAAGCTGTACAACCAAGTGGCAACTACCACATACAAAACTGTATATACAACAGGTTTAGAAACTAATTACACAAAAAATATGAAAGGAAAATGGCAATGAAATGTTAGCAGCTCTATATGGTAGGATTCTGGGTGATTTCTATTTTCTTCATTATACTTTCTAAGTTATCTGCAGTGAGCACCTATTACCTTTCTAATTAGAAGAAGAAAGCAAAGCAAAAACAATGAATCATGCTTGCCTCACAATTCTTTTTGTTTAATTTTGAAACAGCTTTTATTGCCTTCTTTCCTTATTATGAATGCAGTACATGTTCGCTACTCCCCCAAAAATCAGATCTAGAGAGACAAAAAGAAGAAAGCAGTGCCTGCAGACATACCAGTCTTACTACCCTGGTATATATTTTTCCAAGTCATCTTCTGTGCATGAGTACTGATGCAAACACACACACACACACACACACACACACACATACACATACACACACGTATGTATATAATAAAACTGTCAGGGCTGGGGGTGTGGCTCAGTGCTAAAGCTCTTGCTTGGCACCCAGGAGGCCCTGGATTCAGTCCCCAGCACTGTAAATAATAATAATGTTGGTCAGACAGGTGGCACCTGCTGTGTGCAGTTCCTGGCCTTGCTATGTGGTAACTCACTTAATTGTCATGAGAACACTTCGCTGCTTCTATCCCATTTTACACATAACACAATGTGTGTATGTTTGTGTTCTTCCACAGTATTCTAGTACTGTGCTCAGCCCTATTTTTTTTCTTTTTTTTTGAAACAGGATCTCACTATGTAGTTCAGGCTGGCCTCGTGTTTGGGGCAGTCCTGCCTCAGCCTCCCAAGTCCTGGGATTACAGGGACGTGATACCACGAGTGTGGTTCAGCCCTGCATTTTTAACTGAGTACGCCCCTGTGTCCCCAGGATCTTGAGGCCAGGGCATGGGAGTTGTTCCTGTTTCCTCCTGGCATAGAGCAGATGCTGAATGACAGTCATCTCAGCCACCTTTTCTGAGAGAGCCTCCTGGTGCCTTGTGGCTGATGCTTTGCATCTAGGGAACACCCAAAAGCCCCGATTTCTCATCTAGAGAGGTGTAGAGCCCAGAGGGAAGGGGAAAGGGATGATCCAGGTGGCCACTGATGCTTGGCCAGGGCGTGGCTCTGTTCCCCTGAGGACACCTGGATGCTCCTGTCCTTTGCTGGCGCTGCTTATTCATCTGCAGCTGTTTCAGCTGTGCCATTCTGTGTGGCTCGAGGCTGGCACCCAGGCATCTAAGTGTTCACGACCCAGGGATGAGCCATACGGAGACCCAGACATCTGATGGAGGAGACAGGCGAGTGGACACATGACCACAGTGTGCCGTTGCTGTACCAAGGGAGGTGTGGGGAGCTGAGGGCACGGGAAGGAAGACCCTCCTCCCCTGCCCCTGGGGAAGGCTTCCTGGGAGATAGCTGGAGTGGGTGCGAGAGGAAGGAGGAGGCAGTTGGACGCCCTAGAGGCTGGAGGAAGCACCAGCACAAGACAGCCACTGGAAGGAGTCAGGCTTAGCAAAGGGAAGGAACCTAATGGGATTAAGTTTTGGTTCCACAGCAGACTCTCTGTCATCTCGTGCAGTCCCACAGCAGTTCCGGAACAGATGCTATTCCACAGCAGTGTTAGTATCACTTTCTCTTGTTTTTAACTAAGTGAGGTTTAGATTGGTGAAGGAACTTGCCCACATCGCACAGTTGGGAATTCCATACACAGAGGCCTGATTTGCAGAATGAGGGAGGAGAATACCCATCTGCATGGGTCAGGTGGCCTTTAAGGCCCTGACCTAGAAAGGTCTTACTCCTCGTTAGGAGGCCCAGAGCCGGGGAATGGATTGAGAGAAGAGGAGGTGATGGTGCTGGGCCTCACTTTTATTGCATGGCTCTTTGGGGCCGCTGCTGTGATAGGCACGTGCTTATATTATCTCATGTCTCCTAAGGATAGCAGGCTCAGGGGGTCTAAGGTGGGCCTGAGATCTCTGCAGGGATGGAGGAAGCAGCCCGGAGATGGAATGGAGCTGTGAGTGGGCAGGGCTTGAGTGCGAGCAGATTTCAGCTCTGTGAGGTGGGAAGACAGGCAGCCTCCGGTGGAGCAAGCTGCCTTGGGAAGGAGCGAGTTCCACAGCAGCAGAAGGTGTAAGCGATCCCTGTGGTGATGGTTGGACCATACTGTTAGGCTCCCTTTCCGCCGCAGGGTTCCATGTCTATTCCACCGACCTCACCTGCCCTCCACGAGCCAAAGGTGGCTTCCCGGAAGAGGGAATGGGACCTGAATGCGTGGGACACCCTTCCAGAAAGGGCAGTGCTGTCCATTCTAGAAAACCCAGGAAAGGGCAGCACGGCAGGGTATCATGGTATCACTTCGCCTGTCACTCTCCTCCCCAGTATGGTGAGCTCCTCATGCTGGCTTCGGGCACGGGCCTGGCCCCCATGGTGCCCATCCTGCAGAGCATCACGGACAACGCAGATGATGAGACCTTTGTCACCCTTGTCTGCTGCTTCAAGACCTTCGATAGCATCTACCTGAAAACATTCCTGCAGGAGCAGGCCCGTTTCTGGAATGTCCGCACTGTCTTCGTACTTAGCCAGGTGAGCCCAGTGTGGTATCTTCCTTCCCTGAGACCCTGTAGTCCGGTTGTAGCCATCCTGAGGTCTGGTTGTGGCCTCTTTGCCCCAGGCCATTCTAATCCCTGGCCTTGGTGGAGCTCCCACCATGCACATGGCTGAAGACAGGAGCTGCCACAGAGCTCAGAGGTGAGGGCCCACCGTGTCATACCTGCTGTACCCTAGACAGGTGCACCAGGTCTTGCCCAAGGCCACACCTTCCTGAGCTCCAGCTCCTCCCCGACATCCTGTGCTGGCTCCCTCGCCGTGTGTCTTCATCAGTTGTTGGGCTGAGGCCTGCCTGTGGAGTCAGGGGACAGACAGGTCACTACCATGTCCATGAGTACGTCACTCAAGGCCCTTGAGTCTGGGACCACATGTCCCTGTCAGCACTCACCTCAGTGCTCAGCATGGTGCCAGGCAGAGCAGGGACTGTGTTAGTGACGGATGGAGCAAACTGTGTCCAGGTGACTTCATGTAGTAGGGCCCCCCCTTCAGGTTGTCCCTCCATGCCAGGACCGCTGCTGTCAGACTCAGCAGGCCGCAGGTTCTCTAGCTGGAAGCCCTTCTACCCCTGTCTCTCCTCCCTGATTCCCTGCTCCCACCATTCACCCCAGTGACCCTTCCCAGGCCCCCCTGGGCTAGGCCGTAGCATGAAGACTCTACATCTTGTCTCAAGCCTCGTCCTTGTCTGTTTGCCTACCTTCCTGTGGTCTGTAGCTCCACTTTTTCTCCTTGCACCTCTTTGGTTGGGGGTCCCCTGCGGGGCCTGCCCTCCATTCCTCCTTACTCAGGGTAAGCCTCCTTGCCCTGTGCTGTGGACACTCCCTTTATCAATTTCCCCTTTAAGGGAGTTTGAAATAATCCCTGACAACTTACATGATCCTCACCACTGTGGCTGGGTGGGTGGGGGCTGGGAAACTGGGTTTTCCTCCCCAGTGCCAGAGTCCTTGGGCTCCTCAGGAGGCAAGGTCTGCATGAACGTCAAGAGAGGCATCCTTAGTGAACAAGAGCAGTAGCAGGAAGTGCCCAGGGCAGGGGCATGAGGAATGGGGTACGAGAAGGCCCTGAGGCCACACCAGCCGCCCTGCCTGAGAGCCTGGGCCAGGAGAGAAGTCACCCAAGCTGCTGGCCGATACCCCTTTTCTTCTGCTATCCCTGAGTCCATGCCAGATGCTAGGGACACACAAATGAATATGACCCCCTCTCCCAACCCTCTGGGCAATCGCCTGTAGGACAGATACCAAGGGACAGTTGATAAGGGCTTCCTTACAGAGTACCTTTACCTTCTCTGGGCCTGGCACCATTCAAAGCACTTATGTGTATTAACTCATTTAATCCCACCAGTTTCCTGGGGCTTATACTATCATCATGCCTCCTTTACAGATTTGGAAACCGAGGCACAGAAAGATTAAGAAATTTGGCCAGAGTAACACAGCTAGCCAGTGGAAAGCTGGGGGTGAACCCAAGTGGTCCCACTGAGAAGTCATGCTTCTCAGTACAGATAACACAAGCTATCTGAGTATGTCCAGGACACTGATGACCTGAAGGGAGGGCCTCACTGGGCAGGTGGCATTTGCACCGAGCCTCGAGGCATGCATTAAAGTTCACCTGGGGTCACGCAGGTGGATGGGTGGGTGTCAGGGCCTCGTAGGTAAAGTGGAGTAACTGGTGGCTCCTTCCCATCTACCCTCTGGACTCAGGAGGCCTCCTCCCCTGCGTGGGCCCATCAACAGAAACCTTAGGGGCTCCCCTGCTCCAGCCACTTCCTGCCTGCTCTTCATCCTGCAGCCCTAGGGAGAACTG